ACTTATACTTATTATCTTGTAAACAATTGGCAAATCAAATAAATAAATAAATAAAATAAATACTTCAGATTCTGGTTTCTTAGGAGACCAGCAAGAGAAGCTGGAGATTTTTTTCTCTGGACATTTACACCAAACAAAACACAATCAGGGATTCCCAGTTGGAACACTCTGTGCAATATTCATAGAGGAAAATTCCCTAATTTGGTTGTTACATCTACTGATGGGAGGAAGAATAATTTGGCAACCTGAACCTACAGCTGAATCTGATTTATTGGAACTGATTTATAATTCCAATTACTGCTGCAATTTAAATGTTTGGTTTTTTTTTACTATAGACAATACTTGACCATTTTTTTAAAAGTAGAACAGACTGAATCATAAAGCAATGTTCTTAAAAAGAAAGAGCTGCCAACTTCACCTTGGCAGCCTGGGCTGCAATTTTATGAACTTTCTCCTAGGAATAAAATGTTTTCATGTCATTGGGATCTATTTCTACATGAAATAAGTATTTGATTATGATATATTGTTTGCATTTATGTTTATTACTTTTTTTTTCCTCTGTAGGGATTTGCACTTATTCACTGAAAAATTCACAACTATGGCTATCAACCAAAATAATGTTCTTGTTCTATCTGTCTGTCTGTCTGTCTGTCTGTCTGTCTGTCTGTGTCTGTCTCTCTCTCTCTATCTATCTATCTAGTGTGTGTGCCAGTGAGAGAGAGAGGGAGGGAGAGAGTGTGCAAGGGAGGGAGAAAGAGACGGAGAGAGGAAGAGAGGGGGGAGAGAGAGGGAGGGGGAATCTTGATGTCCCAAGTTCTCAGATCAATGTACAGTGATCAGGAGGCAACAGTGAGAACACTTTATGGCGATACAGTTTGGTTCAGGATCAGTAAGGAAATTAGACAGAGATGTATTTTATTACCATTTCATTCAATCTGTATGCTGAAGTGATCATGAGGAATTTAGATCTGGAGCTGCCTGATGTTGGAGTGAAGATTGGGGGAAGAACCATAAATAATTCGAGGTACGCAGATGACACAACACTATTGGCTTGGTGATCTTGGGTTAATCATTTTCTCTCATGCCTAGGAAACAGGCAATGGGAAATCACTTCTGAAATCTTACCAAAAAATCTTCAGGGACTTGCAAGGAACCAAGGCTGACTTGAGGGTGCAGACACAAATACAATAAAAATGAGAATAAGATATCTGCAGTTGGTAGGATTGATTGGGGTGGGGGGTGGGGAGAACATCCTACTGCGATCAAACTAGAACTAAAAACCAGAGCCCAGAACAGTCTCTCTTTGCATTAAGCAGGCAGAAACACGTTACAGAAGCTCGTCTAACTCTATAATCACCATAACAAGGTAAAGAAAAACTAGAATTATTGAAAAAAACAGTATAACATTGTAATAATGAAGATGCCTTCAGAGTCAAAGAAGCCCCTTTCTCCATTGTCCCAAATGTGCTTTTTCAAGAGGCAACTGGATTTTCTTCACTTTCCCTTGAAGACATTTCACTGGTCATCCAAGGAGCTTCTTCAGTTATGACGGCGTCAGAGTCAGAACTGAAGAAGCTTCTTGGATGAGAAGCAAAACATCTTCAAGGAAAAACAAAGAAAGTCCAGTTGCCTCTTGAAAAAGCACCCTTGGGACAACCATGACCTGGATGACTGAGAATCCCTATAGCCTTCTTCTTCTGTGATGCTTTGGTCCTGATGTAACTTGTGCTTGGAGGTAAATAGTGATAAAAAGTTGGTCCCCTTGCAGTCACCACTCCTTTATTATAAAATTTGTTATATCACAACAATACATGGGCAAACAACCGATACAAACTCAAGGTAAACCATTTCAAACTCGATTGCAGAAAATACAACTTCAGCAACAGAGTGGTCAACGCCTGGAATGCCCTACCCGACTCCGTTGTTACAGCCTCAACCCCTCACAGCTTCAACCTCAAACTGTCTATCGTGGACCACACCCCATTCCTAAGAGGTCCTTAAAGGGGGCATGCATAAGCACACCAGCATGCCTACCGTCCCTGTCGTACTGTCTGCATTTATCTGTATTTACTCCCTTTGTTCTTGTTTATGTTCACACTTATACTTGTTATCTTGTACATATTTGACAAACAAACAAACAGTGTTCTCCCTTCTCCACCAGCCATCTGGGGAACCAGGAGAGGATTTAAGGGGAAATCTTGATCCAAACTAGGTCTAAGTAAATTACAGGAAGGGAAACCCAACAAAATTTTGAAAATAATTTGCTTAGCCAATCTTTCACTAACAGAAAAAAAAATCAAGATGTCAAAGAAAGATAAAGTTCCAGACAAGCAGTGCATAATTAAAAATAAACTAAAATAAAATATAGAAAAACCCTAATGTGTTTCTAGCCTTCAACGAAACAACTCCTGAGATTCTAGTCTTGCCTGAAGTAACCTCCATCATCTGGGATTCCAGCCAACTGCAAAATATGCCAACTCTTGCTGCCAAAAAAATAAAAAATAAAATAAAACCTCTGCTTTTCTTCTATTGGTTCTCAAGGGTCACATGACTCCCTCTCAAAACCTAAGGGGGATTGTTATTTAAAGGGCCAGCTGTTCCTTGCTACAAATATGTTAAGCATTTACTGAATCCTTTGCTCAAATTATTATCAATGTGATCAACTTAGGAAAAAAAAATGTAGAATTTTGTTGCAAATGTTATTTCTTAAGGTCCAAGGGCCTTACTCGTTCAAATTTAAATGCAGTTGAATCTGATTCCTTGCCAGATATATTGATATAACTTACTGCCAAATAAACTTATTTTTGTCCTGTATATAACAGGAGTTGTAGGTATATAAAATTGCCTCCATTCTTTTTTCCCCATAGTGAATCACAATTAAACAAAGTAAAAAAAAAAAAAGAATTTTTACCCTTCTATGTTACTTAGCAAAAAAACACTTCAGATTTTGCTAGCAACTCAGGAAATAATGAGCATTTTGGAGAGAAAGCAAATGTCAAATGCATTGCATTAAACAGAAATACTTTAGCAAATTTCTAAATATGAGAAAAGGTTATTATTCTTTAAGGCAGCTTTCTCAATCTTGGCATCTTTAATGTGTGTGGACATTGCTTTAAGGTTATAGCTGAAGAAGACAGGAAAAACCTCATTCAGCCATTATTAGCAAACTTCTTAGCTCAAAAGAAGGGTTCCCCCCCTCCATTTTCTCCATTCTTCACATCTATAAAAGTTTCTGTTTCTAGAATTTTGTTTGTGTGTGTGTGTGTGTGTGTGTGTGTGTGTGCATATGGAAGCAAATGTATCAAGTAAGCAAAATCAAAAATTTTAAAATAAAAACAAAAGAATTCTTATTCATAAGTATGCTTAATTCATAGTCAATGCATAGTCAAGTACAAGATTTGGAACTGGTGAAACATCGAGAACGTGGGCAGCATTGTATGGCACTCTTAGCAATGGCTGCCATGAGAGTAAGAAGCGAACATCTTTTCAGTTGAGCTGGATTCTGATGAATTAATAGCCAACTCTATATAGTTTTCTGGCAGCAATATAGAAATTATCTGCCACAGCCTTCTTCCAGGAAAATTTTCCTCAACTTTTTTCTAGCCTATAGCCATGGAATTCCTCTGTAGTTCTTTTCCAAATGCAAACCAGATCTGACTGCTTAATTTTAATGATCAGCCAAGTCAGTTCAACACACGCCACAGAACAATTGCCTACTCAAAAAAAAAAAAAAAAAAAGACCATATAGTGCCTTGGGCTGATTGCAAAACTAGTTCATGCTATTAGCTCCAGCATTCTAGGATGCTTTTTTCTACTCCTGTCCACAGTTCAACTTTTTTTTTATGAGCGCATGACACATTTCCAATGAATTCCAACTGAGCATGCAAATTTCAGACTGATTAATTAAAATAGTATAAAACAAATAATGCATGGGTGGAGCAGGAGGTATTGCAGGAAGTATCTGCGGGTGTTATATTTTCTCCTCTTGAATACAGTGTTCTACCTGGCAAAGTGTTACTTTTATTGTTACAACGTCAGCTTGAGTATTTAAAATGGAAAAGTAAAGAAGAAAGTGAAGGAAATGGATCAAAAAAGGAAGATGGGGGGGGGGGGGGGAAGAAAAACATATTTGGGAGGCAACTAAAAAAGAAATCCAATACTAATGTTCAAAATTAAAAATGGAGTTTAGAAAGCAAACTAGAGGTACCTTGGATCAGTTTTCCACAAAATCTAAGCAACAAGGCTTCCAAAACCAACTATTGTTTTAAACAAGGAGTAGAAAGAGGACTGGGTATCTATGCAAGATGGGAAGAGGCTTGAAGGAAATTTCCCAAAAGGGAACTTAATAGCCACGAAGGTAAAGATCTAAGGTAATCTGTAAAAGTATCATTCTGCCTCAAAAGAAGTGGGGGAAAAAACCCATGCAGTTTTCTTTTACTTTAAGTTCAAGAGGAATTAGTCTATTTTTGCTATTATTTGTTCATGGGCAATCAATATGATTTGACACTGTTCAATATAAAATTTTATATTTTATAATTAGTAAAGTTGTATTAGCTATGTTGAAAATAAGGAAGCTTAGGCAGATTCAGGAAGTCTAATTATTTTAATTAAAATAACATGGTAACCCATGAAGATCTTGTCAACATCAAATCCTGACTAACTAATAAAATTGCAGTAAAGAATTTCCTTGCCTCCTGAAGAGGTTGCAACAGAATTCCTACAACAAAGTTATGAGTTACTTTTTCTTCTGTGGGTCATAATCTATGTCCTTTAAAACTTGTTTCAGAATTCAACAATTCTTACTATTAATATTCTCCAAATACACAATTTAAATGTCCTCCTGTGAAATTTCCATTCATGAATTATAATGCCTTACATTTTCTACGTATTAATCATTCTCTCATTTGAAAAAAAAACTGATTGAAAAAGCTCAAAATACTTACATATCACTGGCAATAGAGGAATTCCTGGACATAGACTTTGGCGACAGATCATAGTCGCTATCTGATCGGTAGAGAAAGGATTCTCTGCGTTGACTGTGAACAAAATTTGCCTGGAGAATTAGCCCTGATCCAGGGCTTGTCATGGGATCCAAGGGACTCCGTCCCGATGAGGTGCCATTGTCTACGTCGAAACTGCAAGGAAGTAAAAGTATATTTAATGCAATGTAAAACCTAATCAACCCCACACAATTAATACTAAGGACAACCTTAAAATGACTTGGTGACATTTGGTTCAACTTCAAGATTTCCATCTTGTGGTCAAGCATGATGAGAGATTAAATCTAGTTTATCTAGAGAGCACAAGATTAGAAAACTCAAGGAACATTTTGGTTATATAAAACTTCTTCCTTTTTTGAAGCTAGTTTTCAAATGGATAAAGGAGTTAAAGCAGGGGAAAAATAGTGACAGAAGAAAGTAACAGAATACAGGAGAAAATGGAATAATTTCCTTCTCCACAAATTTTAATGTGAAAAGAAGTAAATTTAGCTTAATTGCAATAGTATGGTTACAGTTATCTCATTGGCCCAGTTGCAAGATTTTTGTAAGTTGTTGGCTCCTATAGCCTTGATTTTACTTTTTTTTGCACTGGTTAAATGTGTCAAACTTTGAAATTCGTTTTTCTTTTTGTTTAAATTAAATGGAAAGTTTCCATTCCCTACAAAAGAATATTGTCTTTACATATAACATTTATATGTCAGAGGGTAACCTAGATAAGTGCCTTTCTTCATTAATTACAGCATTATGAAACCATCTGCAAAACCAATCCTACCCATAAAACCCATGATGCTGAACTTGTCTCCTGACTGATTTGCACAACTTTATCCTGTTCTTTTCCATATCATAACATAAATCCCCGGCAGCTGCAAGATTCAATGAGCATCAACACAATTTATCATTATGACAGCAGTTCTTTCTAGCACCATAGAAAAAAATTAAAAAGCTCTAAACTTTCTGACCCATTTTTAATTTCAAAGTGAGGAGAAAAAGGAAGACCATGTTCCCTACTGTTCTTGAAAACTAAGATAACTTTTAGGTGATGTTTTATTGTGCAACCATCCTGCTTCAGTCCTTTATTAGGAGCCCAGACGACAATACTGTCCACTCTTTCTAACTCATTATCTTCTCACATCTATTTTTGGCCTTATTTTTTTCTTCCAACAGAAAACCATTCAAGTGGGAAAAGAGAAAAGGGCTGCCTAATATATTTGGGTGGGTATTGTTCAGAGGCAACCATCTGGAAACATTTCAATTCCAAAAGATATGAATGCAAATTTGGAGACCTTTACGCAATCAGTGAAGGCAATGCAGCACTTATGCACAGAAGCTGCTTTCCATTAGGTTAGATAATCTGTCTGAATAATATAGAGAAAAGTAAAGTCTATTTCTTAGGCAAGAAAAACCAAAGGTACATATATAGACTGGGTGAAACCAGGCTCAATAGCAGTAACTGTGAGAGGGATCTTGGAGTCTTAGTGGACAACCAGCTAAATATGAGCCAGCAGTGTGCAGCAGCCACCAAAAAAGCTAATGCAATCCTAAATTGCATTAACAGAGGGAAACAATCGAGATCAAGTGAGGTACTAATACCACTCTATAAAGCCTTAGTAAGACCACACCTAGAGTACTACACCCAGTTTTGGTCACCACATTATAAAAAAGATGTTGAGGCTCTAGAAAAAGTACAGAGAAGAGCAACCAGGATGATTAGGGGACTGGAGGCTAAAACATACAACGAACGGTTGCAGGAACTGGGCTTGGCTAGTCTAGTAAAGAGAAGGACCAGGGGAGACATGATAGCGGTCTTCCAATATTTGAGGGGCTGCCATAGGGAGGAAGGGGTCAAGCTATTTTCTAAAGCTCCTGTAGGCCAGACAAGGAATAATGGATGGAAACTGAACAAGGAGAGATTTAACCTGGAAACAAGGAGAAACTTTCTGACAGTGAGAACAATCAACCAATGGAACAGCTTGCCCTCAGAAGTTGTGGGAGCGCCATCAGTTAAGACTTTCAAGAAGAGATTGGACTGCCATTTGTCAGAAATGGTGTAGGGTCTCCTGCTTGGGCAGGGGGTTGGACTAGATGACCTACAAGGTCCCTTCCAACTCTGATTATCTGTAATCTGTATCTGTATCAGAACTGCTCACTTGATGTGATGATAACAACTCTTCAGTAGCCCAAAAGAAGCCCAATTCTGATAGGCAAACATCCCCTTACTATTATTGCTACCATCTGATTCTTTCTTCAAGTGAGCTTTGAATCTTCTCATGCTTGGCTTGGCTGGTCCTTTTCCTAGTTATTGACAAGCAGCTAGTGCTCTTCAAGGGTTTCTTCCTGACCAAATCAATATGACAAAATGTTTAGGTGTTTCTGCCACCCTGTCTAAGGTCCAGATTATATATTTTCATTTTGATATAATATAGTAAAGAATCAAACAGCTCATAGCATTGTATAATAAATAAAATTCTGAAATCTTAATAAGAGATGACAGGTGTTCCTTCCTAAGTCAAACCCTGGGCAATCTCGCTATTAGTTTTGAATTAACAAATTTGGATTGAGAAACTGCATTTGGAACATTTGTAAATGAAACATTTGTTGCAATACAATACAGTGTCCACCAGATGGAAGTCAAAAACAACAAGGAACAAACTCACACTTAAACAATTAGCATTTGGATTGCTTGAGCATTTGTACTAGTATTTCCTTTATGAAATTCTCAGGTTATAGGGGTAGCAAATTGTACTGAGGAATGAAAACAAAACAATAATGAACTGTTCTACTTATATTATTTGTTAGCTTCAATGCTATTTATAAAGCACCTTCTCCATCCTGCAGTTTTCAAATCAAACTCTTTCAGTACAATCACAGATCCATTTTCTGAAAAACAACAGACTTGGATAGAGGATAGAGATAGTGAAGTGAGGGAAAAAATAAAATAGAAATATGTCTTTTAACTTCTTTTGGTACAATAAAATTCCTAATAGAGTTATAATATCAACTTTTTATTTATAGATGTATTGGAAGAATGAAGATCTTAAAGTCCAAACTCTGTGGAGGAAATATCATCATCTTCAAATATCAAAACACCTGTGCAATGCCAGTTATAAGATACACAATTGGAATATATTTAGATTTCAGCAAGGCATTCAACAAAGTAAACCACAATCTACTTAGTAAGATAGAAAAAAGTGTAGTAGATAGCACCACCACTCCATCTTAGGCCCAGTACTCTTCAATTAATGACTTAGATGAGGGAATAGAAGGGGAACTTACCAAATTTGCAGATGATACTAAGCTGGCAGGAATAGCTAACACCCAAGAAGATAGGCTCAAGATCCAGATGGATCTTGACAGACTAGAACACTGGGCTGTATCTAACAAAATAAAATTCAATGTAGAGAAAAGTAAAGTCCTACACTTAGACAAGAAAAACCAAAAGTACACATATAGACTGGGTAAAACCAGGCTCAATAGCAGTAACTGTGAGAGGGATCTTGGAGTCTTAGTAGACAACCAGTTAAATATGAGCCAGCAGTGTGCAGGAGCAGCCAAAAAAGCTAATGCAATCCTAAATTGCATTAACAGAGGGAAACAATCGATCAAGTGAGGTACTAATACCACTCTATAAAGCCTTAATAAGACCACACCTAGAGTACTACACCCAGTTTTAGTCACCACATTATAAAAAAGATGTTGAGACTCTAGAAAAAGTACAGAGAAGAGCAACCAGGATGATTAGGGGACTGGAGACTAAAATATATGAAAGAACGGTTACAGGAACTGGGCATGGCTATTCTAGTGAAGAGAAGGACCAGAGAAGACCTGATAGTAGTGTTCCAATATTTGAGGGGCTGCCACAGAGAGGAGGGGCTCAAGCTATTTTCTAAAGCGCCTGTCGGCCAGACAAGGAATAATGGATGGAAACTGAACAAGGAGAGATTTAACCTGGAAATAAGAAGAAACTTTCTGACAGTGAGAACGTTCAACCAATGGAACAGCTTGCCCTCGGAAGTTGTGGGAGCGTCATCACTTGAGACTTTCAAGAAGAGATTGGACTGCCATTTGTCAGAAAAGGTGTAGGGTTTCCTGCTTGGGCAGGGGATTGAAGTAGATGACCTACAAGGTCCCTTCCAACTCTGATTATCTGTTATAATATTGGACTGGACTTTAGCAGAACTACAAGCCCTGTTAGAAGACCAGAAAAATAATGGTGAATTGGGCTCTTCATTCACACAGCAATTTTAACTGACTCTATTTACCAAGGAAACTATATAAGAATGTAATTGTTGCAAGTACACCACAAAATTAAAGAAGAAAAAAGGGCATTGGAAGAATACCTGAAGGACAGTGAAGAAGATGCACTGAAGACCAAACTGGCTTATAAGAAAGACGAAAGAAGGAACAGAAAAGAAACATGGCTGGTCAAAGTATTAGATGGCCAGTACATTAAAACAAGGGAGACATGTTGGCTCAACAGTTAAGATGCTGGTCTTGTTGGCTGAAAAATTGACAGCCTTAGTTTGAGATCTGAGAGTTGTGTGACAGGATGAGTTCCCGTTACTTGCTTCAGCTCCTGGTCATTTAGCAATTCAAAAACATGCAAATGCGAGTAGATAAATAGGTACCGCTTCAGAGGGAAGATAACTTGGTCAATAAATAATTCAATTCAATTCATGCACTCTGCGTACAGTTATGCTGGCCATATGACCCTGGAAATGTCTTCAGATAATGGTGGCTCCCTCCACTAAGAAATGGAGATAAGCCAAACTCACCTATGACTGGACAGGGAAAACCTTTACCTTTACATTAAAAAATCACCTTAACAAGACCTGGCAATGGTTAAGAGTAGGAGTGTTGAACTCCTCTTGTAGGAATGGAGCTCAAATCTTCAAATCTTTTTCAGCTAGCCCCCAGAGACAAAATCCAAGCAGAGAGTCAATATGCGGTCAGTATCTCTCTCTAGCGGAGAGACAGTATGGTGAGGTAAGGATTGTGGGATACTTCAGATGGGTGGGGGAGGCTGGAGTAGCAGTGAGCTTAAGGATGACTTTCTTATAATAGTGTGAGTATTGAAAGGCAGATCAGAGATTTATTAAGAATTCTTGTTCACTTCAATAATGACTGATAAACAGGGA